CTGCCCGGCTATAACCTCCTCTTATCTGATGTGCCCCGGGAAGCCTGTCGGGTCTGCTGGACAAGGGGTGAATAAGGCCTGCCCTTGCTTATGGGAACAGGGGTGGGGACTAGTAGACCCACTTCAGCTGGGAGCAAAATGTCTTGAAGCCGGTGGGCGCCCAGGGAACGGGGCCCCCCTCGAAGCCGGGGAAAGGACAGGCGACACATCTGAGCAAGGCTTGTTTGTACAAGATCATTATCCAGGGCCCTGGTAGCCTCTTAAACTGAGTTCAAATGTTTTTCATACCAGCTCTGCAAAGAAGTGGTGCAGAGAAAAAGCCCGAACTCTCCAGAACTCACCAGGCTTGCCCTTCCCAGCTTCCCCGTTTCTCTCTCTTCCTGGAAGGGAGAACGTGATTCCGCATGATTCCACAGGTGGGCAGGAAGGAGGTAAGCAAGGTTGTTATTGGAAAATCCGTTCCCCACCCACTCTGCCTGTGAATGGGCACATAGCCCAGTTTGGTATTAATTTACAAGCAGATCATGGAGCCAAGAGGTCAAAGCTCCCCTCCAGCCAATGAGATCGGATGTCTGGCGGGCACATGGTACATTTCAGCCAGAACGGCCAAGATCAGACATGAGTGCATTCATTCATTCTGCAGGTACCTACAGAGTACCTACTACAGGCTAGGTGATGCCAGGAAGGGCTCTTTGGACTGTGAAGAATTTTTCTTGGTTTTGTTTTGATTTGATTTTAAGTAGGCTCCACACCCAACACGGGGCTTGAACTCATGACTCTGAGATCAAGAGTCACATGCTCTACTGACTGAGCCAGCCAGGTGCCCCTGGACTGTAAAGACTTTCAAGCAAAGGATTGAAAATCATCTTTCAATGGGGAGGCCGAAGGCTGCTTGGATGTTCTTCGCTGCGGCCATTCTCGGAGGCACTAGTGGGACTAATACTTAAATAATGGTTTCCTCCCAGTTACCAGAATGTCAGTGTCCTTATTCAGCTCAGGACCAATTCAGATTAACTTCTACTTAAAACTACAATTTTCATTTGTTGCATACTTAAATATGCAAAGCGCTATGCCAAGTGGTTTAGATCTCATTTCAACCTCCTTAACATTTTCAGATGGGTTCTATTCTTTTTTTTTTTTAATTAATTTATTTATTGTGTGTGAGAGAGAGAGAGAGAGAGAGAGAGAGAGAGAATGAATCCCGAGCAGGCTCCATGCTGTCAGCTGCAGAGCCCGGTTCGGGGCGTGATCTCACAAACCATGAGATCCTGACCTGAGCTGAAATCAAGAGTCAGAGCTTAACTGAGTGAGCCACGCAGGTGCTCCAAGATGGGTTGTATTCTTAGTCCCATTTTACAAATGGGGAAATGAGGCCTGGTTGAAGTAACTTGTTCCAGAGTGCACACAGGAAGTAGGTGGGAGAGAGGAGATCGGACCCCCGGGGAAGCCTAACTCCGGGGCCTGCCTGAGCTGCTAACCTGTTTGCAGCCCTGCCCCACTGGGCTTGGAAATGGAAACTTTACCCAGCAGGAGTCAGACTCAAGCAAGGGAAGACTATTTACTTCACTTCCCCACCCAAATGACCTTCCAGTTCAACTAATTGAAGATAATGATAATAATTGTCCTAATTTGCCCTCCAGTGACTGCCAGGATAATGGAGATGATTTAGAATCAAAAGCTGAAGAAAGGAACAGAGGTCATTTCATCCAACTCCCTCATTTCTGAGACAGGAAAATTGAGGGGCTTGGCCAAACTCCCACAGCTGGTTAGGAAGGACCTGGGCTACAACCCATATATTCTCCCTCCCAGCCCAGAACTTCTTCTACTGCATCCTGCTCTGCTGGGCCTCAGTGCCAGTACTGGCCTGGAAGCCAGGAGTCCTCGCTATCTGTGCTCCCGGAAGGCCACTATGGGGCCGATGTCAGACTCACAGAGGAGCGTTTCTTCCGCCCTGGGCTTGCTGGTTGAAACATCAAGGTCTCCCCCACCCAAACCTCCTTATCAGGAACTGGGATGGGCTCTTAATCTGTAGCTCCCAGGCCACGTCTACACTCTCTGGACCGCGTGTTATCATCCAGAAATAGCTGACGGAGCCCAGGTCTCCCCGGCTGGCGCAGTGTACCAAGTGGGGAAGCTGGGAGCAGAATGGACCAACCACCCAATGCCCGGTCCCGGGACACGTGAAAACCACCAGCTGCTACTCAAACTGTTCCTGCCTACAGCCCCTGTACCCCCAGCTGGCCAAGGGGTAGTCCCCACCACTACTGAAATTGGCCAGATCTAAAGTAAGCAACACAGAACACTCCCATGTAAATTGAGGGACTGTTTTTCCACCAGGAGCCGAGAACACTCCCCAAATCAATCTGCTATGCGGCCGTCTCCCCAGCTCGGAGATAGAGGTGGGTGATGATGGCCCCTTGGCCTCCGATAACCCTCCCTTTCAGGCTTTTTACTGAACAATATGAAAACCAAGGAGTGGAGCCTCTTAGGAAATAAGAAGGTAGGTGCTGGTAAGAATAGCACACCAGGAAGGGCAAAAATTCAACCCTAACTCCATCCTTACATCCCAAAAGGCGGGTCCTTACAAATGAGTGCCTAGGACATTCGTGCTAGAAGCTACAAATGAAAACGGGGCCATTCCTTCAAATGACCTCTTGACACAAGTGTCCCTGTAACTAATTCTGTTTGTGATACAGATGAGCCGGCTTCCCGCAACCCCATTTCCGGCCTCCGCTACCCTCCCAAACGCACCACACACAGCCTCTCTGGCCTACCGACCACCTAGGACGCCCAGGTCAAACCGCATGTTTGTTCATGAGGGTCATGGAGGCATGAAATGAAGCGTGTACATTGGTGAGGGGTGGTTCTGTTCACGAATCAATGTGTTTAGAATGTGGTTTAAGTGCAGCCCACCTCTGGCCAAGAAGAAAACTAGCCCAGGTCAGTGATGTACTTGTGACCTCAGCGGAAATTGCTGAGACAGCAGGTGGGGGGTGGGGTGCGGAAGCCTGTGTCAAAACCTCATGGACCAAACCCAAGAGTCGGGGATGATAAAGATTGTTCTTATTTCCTCACATATATCCTATCCATACAAAGGGAGTAATAAATTGGTAACCTTTGGCTCTCAAATCTTTGCTGTTGGGAGTAGCTGCTCTTTAGCTAACTGGTAGCCTTGGCTGTCCATTATACATTCAGTTCCAGGGCCCAGATCCTGAGGCCCAACTGCTCTTGTCTAATAAGAACGGTGGGTCCTGGGGCACCTGGGTCCTTCGTCAAATGTCCGATTTCTTGATTTGGGCTCAAGTCATGATCTCGCGGCTGGTGAGGTGGAGCCCCGCGTCAGGCTCTGGGCTGACAGCTCAGAGTCTGGAGCCTGCTTCGGATTCTGTGTCTCCCTCTCTCTACCCCTCCCCTGCTCACACTCTGTCTCTCTCTCAAAAATAAAAAAAAAAAAAAAAATTAAAATGGTGGGTACCAAATGGCAGTCCCAGAGATGACAAGAGAGCCTGTGCCGGGAACTTTCCAACAATTCTGCCCCGGCCTGGCAAGGGGTTCCATGCCCCCTTCTCACCATCTCAGTCTGAGACTCAGGCTGTGAGCCTTAATCATTGGTCATGTGTTCAATGCCTCGCACTGACTGACGGTACATGCTTGCTGAACAAACAAACAAGGGAACACAGCTGAGGCCTAGGGAGGGCAAGATGCGTGAGACCTGGCTAAAGAGTGCTCAGTCTAGAACCCCGTCCCGTCCGGCATTTTCACGGGGAAGTGAGAATGCGCACTAAGGAACGAGGTAAGGAATACTTCTTGGCTCTCTGTCACATAACGAGATTTTTCTTTTACACCAGCCACCTGCTATAGGTCTTCTGAGTGTAACTGAAGAGAAATACCATGAGACATCAAGAAAAGGATTTGCATCTGAAGAAAACGCTTAGTGAGTTGAGGATGTTGGCTTCTCTACACCACACGGCTTCATCTGCTACATTTTTATTAAAGTAACCAAAAAAAAGAAAAGAAAAGAAAAAAGAAGCGCGTACATTTGTCCATAAAGCTGTACATCCTTCCATATAAAAACACTATTATACAATTAGTAACCTTTGTCTTTTCTGTCAGAATAGCTTACCAACGTGCTACTATTATTTCTTTGTACTTAATAGGAGAGACAGGCCTGCTCAACAGTCCAGCTCTGGGTGTTTTGCTGTTTTTTAAAGTGAACATTAAAAAAAAAAAAAATAAGAAAGAAAGAGAGAGAGAGAAGAGAGAAAAGATTAAGCAGGAGACCATGAGGCTGCTTCTTTTTTAAAAAGGCAGGGATCTGTTTGCAGACAGGATGCAACAATGCCACGTCCAGTGATTCACAGCTTTGTCTCAACCCACAGGCCAGAAAATGAGCTCTTGGGTCTGTGGGTCTGAAGTTAGCTTTAAAGCAATAAAGGCTGGAAGCAGGGTCTGGGAAGGCAGCTTGGGGTCTAGAGTTGAAAAGGAGGCAGGACTGGCAGGACTGGGTAGGGACAGTGTTTGGTAAATAGCACCTTTGAATCAGAAGTGAGTGGTTAAGAAATTCAGGGAAGGGGACTGGCTGTGGAGTGGGGGACCCTCGGGCAGGGAAGAAAGTTTCCTCACTAAGGGGCGACAGCCTGGTGGGCTGGACAGGAGGGTAGCCAGGTAGACTGGACGCTCTAGCTACGTCCTTCTAAAGTGATTTTGAGATTAGGAAAATCAGGGCCTTCGGAGGACCCCCTCACTAATGTCACTGAAAAACCGAAGGAAGGCGATTTCTTCCCAGTATAGATTTCCACTGGCTCCGACCCAGCACGGTAAATATTGCACAAGTCTACAGACAAATCTGGGTTGTACTGAGAGACAGCAACTTCCCCACAGGTGCTCTGAGCACCAGGGAGAAAATAATGCCCAGGATTTTGGCTTTTAGTGTCAGCCCTACAAGAATACCAAGTAGTCCTGCAGAACTCGGGGAGTTCTCCCATTCAGCCAAGGAATACCTGCGAGGCCGACCAGCCAGCCAGAGTCCCGAGGACGGAGGGATAGTTCCCGAAGCCCTCCAGGGCACCAGGAGGTTCTGAGAGCTGGGTCTCCTTCAGACTCTCCTGGGACCCAGGAGGCCATATTGCACAATGAGTCGAGAGCTCTTGTTCTGGAAAACTGGGTAGCTCCATGACCCAACCAGAAGGGGAGAAGAACGGGGGAGTCAGGGAGGAGTGTTGTGCTTTTAAGAAGAAGGCAGTAGTAAAGAACCTAGAGTTCCCTGTAGCTTTTGAGCCAGCTCTTGAAGGGATAGTGGCAGCAGCAGCAGCATCAGGACGTTCCTGTGATTCCAGAAAGAAGGGTTTTGGCCAAAAAACCCCAAAAAACAAACAAACAAAAACAAAACAAAAAAACACATCCCCAGTGGATACTCTTTGGGTCCCAAAATTCCATTGCAAGTCACCCCCAACTTAATCACCACGTATACTCACACACAGAGCAGCACACAGCAAAGCAAAGGTTTCGTGCAGAGTTCCCTTCAGCCCCAACCCCGATAACCTCTAACTCCTGCCTTACTCCCCCGACCCCCACAAAACAAAAAGCTTTTGTTTCCTGGCTGGGAAGCAACATCTACCAGGCCCCTGAGCATAGAATCAGAAACAAGTCATGATTTCAAGAAAAGCTGCTTAGGGCAGAAGCAATCAGGAGAGGACTTTTCACTCTCTGCCCTGGATCTCATCAGAAACATGAAAGACGATTAGGCAACATAGTATAACTTAAGTCCAGGCTTGAATGCCCCTGAGTAAGAGAGGGGCCAGGGGATACAGGTGTCCCGTTCCGGAGAGGGAGAGGTTTGAGCTCAGCCCCTCTTTCTCCCCGCAAGGCAGATCCTGACCTCTCTTTCACAGTTGCTAACCTTGCTTGCTCCCTCCCCCATCTTCTTGAGGTTGCCATCCAACTACCTCCCCACACCTCTACCTCAAGCCAGCCCCCCGCCCCTGCTACGTACTCCCCATCCGCAGGCAGACACGCTGGTTGGACAAATTGCTGGCAGGTTCTCTCGGGCACCTGGGAGGGCCTTCCAACCAGCTCCTTTAGTTTCTTTAAAAAATCTTTTGGTTTTTCCTTGCATTTAAAAAAATAATATATATATATATGTATATATATATCTTCATTGTGTAATGTCTAGTTCCCCAGTTGAAGTATGCAGCTGACCTGTTGTCCATGGGAGTACAGTAGAGTGCACCTGGTGGGCTGGCCGGGGATCTGAGCCGCCATCACGTGTGGATTCTTGAGGGCTGCTCGGCCCCAGCATCATTTGGTTCTTGCAGGTGAGGAGCCCATAGGAGGCTGCCACCGGGGCCTCTGTGCAGGCAGGTGGGCCATCACTCCCCAATGGGTGGGACACCTGTTGAGGGTGGGAGTCCCAGCTCACTGGGCAGCTTGGCTGTTTAGCTGGGGCTGGCTGAGTCCGATCTGGCTGGCCACCTTGCTGATGATGGGATCCATCTTGTGGTTGGTCAGGATACTGGCGGTAGCTTGGCAGGGGCCCTTGACGGCTTCTCAGGAAACCAGTGGTGTTTGTAGTGCTCTGTGGAGACGGAACAAGAGATGCCTAGTTTGAAGCAGCTGGGCTGAGACTGAGGATGAAAGGAGGACAGGAGGAGAGGCAGGAACCCAGAGATTTTAAGTAAGCAATGTAGTTTCTCATGAGTTCCAGGACCTTCCTGAGACCCTCCTGTCGCTGTAGCAGAGATAATTGTATGGAATCTGGAACCCCCCCCCCCCCACTAGGAGGAGGATGTGTCTGTGTGTTGGGAGGGAGTCCCATAGCTCTGAGGCAGTCCCAAGTAGCCAGTGCTTTTGGCACACCCCAGTTTAAGGAGGAGGGGTGAGACTGGGGAGGGCATGTCCAGACAGGGCCTCTGGAGACCTACTGGCTGAAGTTGGAGGCCAGGAAGGCTGCCACCATTGTCAGATCCACAGCGACTCATTGTGTCCCCCACTCTGGGCCCTAGAGGCTCCCTCTGCCTCCTTCAAAAGCCAGAGCCCCTGAGCAGCGGCTAAGGGAGTCGAAATCGGGTTGGTTTTGATGAAACATATGTTGCTCCACAGAAGGCAGGATCTGTGTGGGCACGTTTGGAGATGGCTATCGCTGCCCAACACGGTCGGCCAACCGGCTGGAAAACAGCTGGGAGATAAGTCTGGCAGCGGCTGCTTATCTCTTGTCCACCTCCCGTTTCACACCGCCCCCGCCCCCAACACACAAGCCAGCAGAGCGCAGTTACGACCTACAAGGCTTTCTCGGGACCATAATGGGTGGCAGATGGCTAAGGGGGGCCAAGCATACAAAGGGGGCCGGGATTCCAACTTCGAACGAATCAACGATCGGCCCGGGCACAGCGCAGCCCCGCACTGCCGGAAGAACCACGGCCGAGACTCCCAAGTTGTTAAGAAGGCTCAATTGCGCCTTCTTCTCCCATAATGACCCCTTGGCTGGCCAGGCTGGGTCGTCCGTGGCGCCCTGGAGAGTCTCAGTAAGGGCAAAGAGCTCGCGCTCAGGCCCGCAGGTGCCTCCTCTCCCGGGGCAAAAGCCGCGACTCGGCTCACACTCCAGGGCCAGGGTCTGCGCCTTCGAACGCGCCCGACCGGAGCGGACACGGACCGAGACCCGAGCGCAGACCCAGGGGACTGCGGGGACTGCGGGTTGCCCCGGGGGCTGGAGGAAACCGAGTCCCGGAGCTGCTCGTGAGCGGAGCCCTGCTCTGGGAGCAGAGGAAAACGACCAAGGCAGGAAGGGGAGCCGAGCCCCAGCGGCAAGGGTCGACGGACGCCAGGTTCCTCGGCGTGTGCTCACCTGTTAGTGCCTCCTGGAGAGCGCCGCTGAAAACCTTTAGTCTCTGCTCGCTCACGCAGCCCCGGGTCCTCAGGAGGCTGGAGAGGAAGCCCACGGCGGCGGCGATCTCCGGAAGCATGTCTGTTCTCTTCCCGGTCCAGCGGGCCTGGCTCATGTCTTGCTCGGCTCAGGAGGCGGTGGCAGCGGCGGGGAGCAGCGAGAGGGAAGTGTCCGGTGGGACGTGCCGCTTCTCAAGCTTCCTCTGTGCGCTGGGCCGCTGCTCGGGCTCTGCGGGGACTTTACCCAGGACGCGCCTTTCATACTATTCCGAGAGGCGGGGGAGCCCGCGCCAGCGCCCATTGGCTACTGCCAGCGGATGGGGGCGTGGCCTGACCCCCGCCTGGCCCCGCCCCGCGCGCTCCCGGGGCCGAGAGGCCGCTAGCCCCTGCCTCCTCCCCCGCCTCCGCCCCTGCCTCCTCCCCCGCCTCCGCCCCCGCCACCTCCCCTGCGCTGAGGTCATCGCCCGCTGACGTCAGTGCTGGGAACCTGAGCCGGGCTTGCGGGCCGAGGGAGGCGCCGGGAGAAAAGGGGAGCCGGGGAGGGGCCGAAGCCTCTGGGCGGAGGAGTGCTGCGTCCAGTTAGCGGCCAGAATGCCTGGACCTCCTCTCCTCTCCGCCGGTCCTTCCAGATTTAGGTCACCGGCCACCTCCTCCAAGAAGCCTCCACTGATAACACCTCTCTCTCCCACGCGGCCCCTTTTCTGGCTCCCACATTTTCCAACGCCCACGGTCAGAACCAATCACTCGGACGCTTTGTCACCTTTTAGCCGCTTTGCCCTGTTTGTTAAATAGGTTTCTCTCGGCTCTTCGGAAATGTGGACCAAGTCTTGTGTTTACTTAGGCAATAATCCCGTCTCCCCCAAACATGTTCTGCCCTTCCTCTGCACCGATGCCTTTTCTCTTGCCTGCTAGCATCCAAGTCTTACCTGTTTGAGGCGGAAGGGTGGGAGCAGTGTTGCAAGACTTTTCTGTCCCCGCAAGTTATTTTTCTAGTCTCGCCTTCCTTTGAATGCCAAAATTTTTGAATAAGTGGTCTGCTCTCAACTGCCCACATTTTCCTGGCCACTCCCTTTTCCTCCTCCTCCCCTCTTCCCCCAGCCCTCCCTCATGTCCTCCCTACCTTGTGGATTGAAGCTTTTGTAAACATGGGCTCTTGCGGGAAAGAACCCAGCCTCAGTGTCCGAGATCCACATGCAGGACCGTCAGGACCTGACCCGGTCACAGGCGCTGGGCAGATGTCCACTGGATGGGCAGAGAACTTCGAACCCACATCCCGGAGTCTGGCATACGTGGGTGCCCCCATATATATTTGTTAAATGAGTCAAACCCAGTGGCCTCTGTAAATTCTCACTTTCCTTGGACTCTGGGCCCTGCTGACCACCTCAGGAAGCAGTTTCTCCTCCTTTTCAGGGGCACCTGGCACCAGGCTTCTCAGCCTCCTTCCCCTGCTGTGTCCGCATGGACCCCTTCTTGCCCCTGTTCCCTCTCTGTGGCCCTTCCCTCCTCTCCCCACTTGCCTTCCTCACAGAAACCCTATTCATGTCGTCCACTCTGCTCACTTTTTCACAACTGACTTTCGAATCTGCATAGTCTTGTCCTGGTGTCCTTTCATCCTGCTGCTCCCCCCACCTGCTCTCTCCGGCCCCGTGGGTGTCCAGCCACCAGCTCAGTGTCAGTCCAAGCCCACGGTCTTTTCCAGCTCCCTTCCTGATGTCCATGGCTGTCAGAGATGCCTTCCCTTCCCCAGGCACTCCGCCCTGAAAACTCACACTCACTTCTGACTTCTTGTTGGCTCCTCAGATCTGGCCCCAAGACCAGTTGCTTCTCCGTATCTAGATGACTGCAGTAGACTTGTCAAACGCCATCCCCAAATGACCCTCCCTGCTGTTGGTAGAGCTGCATTCCAACAGGTCTGCATTCACTTGCTCTTTAGCTCAGATCATTCTGAGGCACCCTCCACCCCCATTCGTCTGGACTCCTTTGCCTAATGTTAAGATCTTTCAGAATTTGGCCCCATCCACCTTTTTAGGTTTCTGCCACTTTGTGCTCTAGGCTCATCCTCCTTGCTGTTCTCTAAGCATCAGGCTCTGCAGCCCAGAGCCCCCAGCATTTTGCCCGTGATCCCCAGCCCTGCCCTGTAACATAGCCCCCGTTCCAGGTGTGCCTGAATGTGCCCGGCTCTGCTGCACTGTGGCTCATGCCATTCTGCCCTGGACACCTCGCTGCCTCCTTCTCACCTCTCCCAACCCCCCACACTCCCAAAGGCCCAGTTGAAGCTTGGTCTTCCACTCTCAAAACCCGCACCGACCATTCTCCCACTACAGAATTAGTGTTATCCATACCATTTAGGTGGCACTCATAATCTGTGGTTTGGTGTTATTAGGGGTATTTTTAGAGGTTGACATCTTATCTCAACAACCGTCTGCAGGCTGCTTGAAAACAGGTTACTATACTCATTTGTCCTACATTTGTCCAGGGCAGTTTCGATTTCAAATATTCTACTCCAATGCTTCATATGGCCCATGAAGACGCACTGGAACACATCTCTTCAGATGGCCCCCTCGCCAGCTCCTCCCCGAAGCTGGATGGGGCCCAATGAAACCCTCACCTCTGCTCGCTGAGAGGAAAACGCTGTGTTACAGAAAATAGGGCTGGGAATGGAAACAGGATCACCTCTGCTGCAACATCTAGACAGACCAGGTGTCGCCCAGGCCAGAACTGTCCAAGGTCCACCGCCAAGGAAGGCAGGGGAACAGGTCAAAGTATAGACAGGGTGGTTCGGCACCTGAATCTGAAAATACTTAACATCTTCCTGGGTGTGTCTTCGACAGGGGCTGGGTGTTCTGGGCCTTGCTTTTATCTAGAACTGGTGCAAAAAAAAAAAAGTATTTTGACAGACTGCCTGTTTTTGTTTTGTTTTGTTGTTTTGGGTTCTGTTTTTTTTGTTTGTTTGTTTGTTTTGTTTTGTTTTGTTTTTTGCCTTAGGAAGTAGAACTGTGTCCTTATGTAGATTTTTGTATCACTCACCAAGTCACACAGCTAGTTCTCAACAGAGCCAGGACCAGATCTGTTGACTTGCTTCCCAAATAATGGTGTGTGCTGCCCCAGATTTAGGTCCCTGGGCGGTTGTTACAGGGGAATGGTCCCCAGAAGTGCTGCCTGTGGTGATTCCGACTTCCCTGCCCCGTTCCCCTGACTTCCTTGGTGGTGGACCTTGGACAGTTCAGCCACAGGCGACTTCCCTGATCTCTCTAGTGTCTAGAGAATTTCAGAGGGGCAGGTCCTGCACAACATGGGCGGGAAAACTGTTCCTGCACTTGCTCAGGATGTGTCTTCGCCTCCTTGTTGGTGATGACATTACCATTGAGGGAGACATCGGTAGACCAAGCCCCCCCTGAGCTCACTGCTACTCACAGCCCTAGGGAGGAGGCTGGGTATCCCATTCAAAAGTTTCAGGTGCACTCTGCAGTACAAGTTGTGACCAACTGAGGTTAGTTCTCACTCAGTTTTTTTTTCAGTGTTGTTTATTTTGAGAAGGGGTAGGGGAAGGCAGATGGAGAGAGAGAGAGAGAGAGAGAGAGAGAGAGAGAGAATCCCAAGAAGGCTTCACGCTCAGCGAGGAACCCGAGGAGGGGTTTGCTCCCACAAATCACGGGATCATGACCTGAGCCGAAACCAAGAGTTGGACGCTTAACAACTGAGCCACTCAGCCACCCAGGCACCCCCTCGATCAGCTTCTTATCAGGGCAAATACATTACAGTAGTCCAATTTTTTTTTTGAAATTTCCAAAGCTGCCCTTCAGTTGCTAGGATCAGGATCCTTACGAGCTCAAAAGTCCTGATTTCACTTCTCCCCTTTGCATGTTTCCTGCTGCCTCTCTTTCCTTGGCATGGTCCAGGTGTAATTTGAGCATCAGGATAAAGGCAGCGGGTCCCTCCCTCCCCCCCTCCTCTTCTTCCTCCTCTTCGTCTTCATTCATTTCTTTCCTCTCCACCCAAGGGCCTCGGGTTGAATTTTGAACATGAAATGTCCTGATACACTGTGCTAACCTGTGACGCCACCCATTGCCAAGTGGGCAGGTAGTGGTGGGGGTGGGGGCGGACCTCAGTCTATGCCTCATCTGGACCAGAAACTTCAGTGCCATGTGATCCCGACCCACTGACTCCCCTGGTCCTGGATGCCCACTTGCACGGGGCACCTATGTGACTTACTGTAGAGTGACACACAGCATCCCACCCCGCCCTGCTCAGATCAAATCCCCCCCTCCCCCCCACCCCCAGGACGGGGTCCCTCTCCTCAGGCCTCAGCTTGTCTGGGGGGGGGTCCTGACAGGCCTTGCTCTCCACTCATTCCCCAGTCAGGAACAGCCAGATCGTTGTTGAGGACTCTTGTCTTTCCCAGTGTCCTGTTAGGCCTTCAAGGCCTTGGCTTGATTGCCAAGGTTACCTCTCAGTTTCCTGACCCCACGTGGAACTCTGAGGTTGAGCAAAGCCGATCTGCTGGCAGAGGCTGGGCTGAGGTATTCTAGGGGGATGACATCAGCTCACTCCCACCCCGTGCAGCGTGTAGTTCTTACAGGTGTGTGTGTGTGTGTGTGTGTGTGTCAGTGTGGATAGGGAGGGCAGCATAACTATTTGAATGAGTATATACTTCAGTGTGTCGTGTGCTCTGATGCTTGAGGGTAGGAGGGAATACAGATACGTGTTCGTAGATGTTCAAATGCACTTATGATAATATATATATTGAGGAACGTCACTTCGTGAAGTGTGGATGTTTTGGTGGAGCGTGTGTTTTGGCGGCGAGAGTATATTTGGCGGGGTAGGTCTGAGCGTGGCTGGTACAGATGCTAATTTGATCTTTCCTCTCTTCAAGCTTCATTGGTGACAGCCCCGCTCTGCTGCCCAGAGCCGATAAGAAACACCACCCAGGGAGGACGAGACGCCTCTTCCTCACTTCCTAATCAGGGCGCAAATACTGCCAAACATATTCACAACCGTCTGCAATGTCGCTGGGTAATGTCCAGACGTCTTTTAGGGTCCCCTGCCATCTTCTCACAAAGTTATCTCTCAAGAGCAGCTCGAGGCCGGCCAGTCTGGGGGTTATTCTTTACAATGAGAAGCGGGCGACGAAGACAGAAGAAAATGACATTGTCCTTCAAACCTGTTAACAAAGCCTGCGTGAAAGCGAGGGTGTCAGCCCTTTTCAAATGGTCTGCCTTGAAA